TGAACAAAAATCCTTGAAACACAGTTACATATCAACAACTCAAGTTAATATCATAGGTCTAAATATCACCCTACAAATCCTGGTGTAGAAAAATGAAAATTAGTTTTATAGACTCTGACTTAATCTCTCTTTCCTGTGCCTTTTTATCAGAGTGACAGAGTACTTAGTCAATTTGAAAGTCATTCCTAATTTTTTACAACTTACACTGAACTTTGCAGTACTACATTGTATGCAAATACTGAGGATCAATGTTATCTGACAATTGATGAGTCCATTAAGATCCTATTAAGATGTCATTCTGTAAGGGATACAGTGCTTTAATCAGTAATACACAAAGATGACCCTCTGAAATGTCTCATTACATCACTTACATCGCCTCTTCAGATGCAAAGATTTGTATTCTATTAATCATCTACAACTATTTTTTAAATAATATAACAATCTCATACAGACTCAAATACATATTGTCCTACCATTAAATGAATGAAAGAAGAAAATCAAATAATACTGAAAGAATAATATGCATGAGAAAAAAAGGTGCCTTTGAAAATTAAACATAATATTATATAAATGTATGTGATGATTAAAATTCCAAAATACAAAAATATATTAAGCAGCAGATAAAATGGAAAAAACAAAACCAGAATTAGTACCGTGAAAGACATTTCCAAAGTTTTTCCACCGCCACAGTTTAAATAAAAAGAAAAAAGAAATGCTGCATTTTTTAAAGCATGGAAAATTATTTGGGCCAAAAAAGGAGGTCATGTATTGCACCCAATAACTGTTCCAGAAAAATGCATTAATCTACTTGCCCGTTTTTTTTGAGAGAATGGGTTATGAATATTATTTAGAGAAATAACTTCTAAGAGTATTTCCAGAATTAATGAATACATAAGTCTTCAGGTTTGAGGAGCACAGCAAAAATTAGCCAGTAGCAGCCCCACTATGAGACAGGACATCCATCACTGACCCATAGCCCTACAGGGGACAACACTGGAGACACAGTGTGGGAATTCTGCCCGATGTGATCCCACCACACCGAGGCAAAACACTAATGGCATGCAGCAGAAAGGTAAGGGGAACAGAGCAATGAAGCTCCAGGGAATACCGTAAATAGACTTTGGAGTCAGGGCTTGGCACCCCGTTTGAGTCGACCGGAAAAACACTCCTAAAGGCCAATAAACAGTCCTTGAACTAACTACAAGCTTTTCTTTTTTGTTTTTGTTGTGTTCTTTGGTTTCTTTGTTTTGTCATTGACTTTTTGTTGTTGTTGTTGTTTTGTTGCTTGGTTTTACTCTGTCTTCTTTTTGTGCATGTTATAATCTCTGCAGGTTTGTCTAAATAAGATAGGCTGGATGAAAAATCTGGAGGAGAAAACAACAGGACCCACAGTTCCCGACAAAAAATCATATCATTGTGTGCTCACCTCCCAGATACAATCGCTGAAGATAAATGGGTGCATGAACAAATGTGGTGAAGAAAGCTGATGGTGCCCGGCTATCAAAACATACTGTGTCTGGTATCTTAAAGGCTTGAAGGTAAACAAGTGGCCATCCAGCTCAGAAGCAACAAAGCCCACATGGAAGAAGCACACCAGCCTTTGTGATCACAAGGTGTGGAAGGGATCAGGTATAGGCATCAATAAACAAAAAATCCTATCATTGTGAATGAGGGGAGTGTGGA